CAGATACCGTGGTGCGGTTAGCAAGGCTTACATTGCTTTTTGATGTAGGAAGAGAGCTCAATTTTTGTTGCTTTAACGCCAGATTGTTTCCTTTAATTTCAATTATAAAGCACTTAGACTCGCCCTCAACTCAATAGGTTCAGTTATTATTTAACACCTCTCCATAAGCACAACGCTGAAACTGACAATTGGAAAAGGCCTGCACACTGCGCAATACTAACTTGCAACAGAGACATTGTTGAGCCTCTTTAATCCTGCTTGACTTATACCATTACACTTGGCTTGGGAGGCAGTGTCACAATTAAAGCAGTCTAGTCCTGAGAGACTACTCGGGCGCATTTAGGTTTTGGACAGGTACTGCTAACTAGGTTAATGCTCTTGCGTTCGCTTGAGGTAGGAGGCGAGACACTTTCAAGTTCATTGCTACAATGGTACGCTTGTCCTCGGTTCTCCTAGGCAGGTTTGTCTCGAGAATGAGGCACATGCATACGGAGCTCGTCTGCTTCCTCGATCGACGCTGGTTCACGTAAGGCTAGGATCTTTAATGCCGTAGTTAGATGTTAGTGGATAAGCTAGAGCGATGGGCGAATGTAATCAAACGCCAAGGATCGAGCTTTAACTTGTTTGAAATTGCCTAATAGGAGTAACTTTCCATCACCGGATAGCGCGACGAATACTTTATCGAATGCGGTTTCACAGCTGTGAGTTATTAAAAAAGGACGAATTTGTACCTCTTAATCTAAGCACCAAATGTTAAAAGACATCTTCATCTCGATCTGTAAGGAACAACTTCGTAAAATGTGCTCCGTCCGTACTAGAAGTTAACCCTAATCGAGTAAGTACGTGATGACTGTGTTGCGTAAACATAGAGCAGAGAAAACCCACGACAGAGAAGAACTCACTATCAGGGTGACTTATTCACAGCACAACTTATTTGTCGGGAGAACGTTGCAGCGTCCAACTTCTAGACGGGCGTCTTATTCGCCGGAATTTGTCTATGTTCGTCCACAGAGTTCAGCTTGACAGAAAGTGGCACAAACCGAACTGTACTCACAAAGGAACTAGCCACTAGAGCCTCAGCGTAAAGACAAACCAGAGAGGCGCTTCCAGGGCGATTATTCCGCATTCCCAAGTCGGTCGATTGGTTTCAGTCGGGATTGCGCCATAAATAAATCCACGTATTATTCTAGCTGCATCCACGACGTACAACTGTGGGGACGTGTATATGCTTCAGCTGCGGTTCGTGTTCAGCTCTTATTCTCTTTAGGTAGAGGAATGGAAACTAAATAACCAGCTGTACCTTATCAACAGGTGTGTACTTCCAAGTTTGCTTCCAATTTGCATGCTACTTTAGATTCAAGAGTACCAAAGATCGGTCGCTAGATCTAACCGAGCAAAAATAGCCGCCTGTTATTCCGTCTCAGCCCGACTTCCCCCTACAATTCGAAATGAGGCTCGAACCCCGGACAGGGAGCAAGGATAAAAAGCAGCTACATGTTGTGTGCGAAGTGCATGGCTTTCGCTCACAGTTCCGATCAATGGTTGCAGCCGTAGCTGAGTTCAAAGTAAACGTCGTCAACACTGCAACTCCTGGAAGCAATTCATTCGCTTCATATACATAAGTCAATAATGACTAAGCTAATGCATATTGTGATCTTAAAACCCACCAACATAGTTTCTCTAGTTTTGAATACAATTATATTTTGGAAGTGTCTAAATCTTGTTTGGTTCGTCCAGCTTGTTTAAACAGTCGCAAATGTTTCGCCCCAATGCGAGGTGGCATCGTTAGCTCTGTGATGCGCACATCACCGTTATTCAGACCAGTTAGATCATATGCAAGTGACGGGCTTTTGGTGTTTCTTGCCTGAAACGCTACACTGTATTTCCTCTTCAACCCCTTTTTGTGATCTTGAGGCACAGCTAGCTGAGCCGAAAGTGAAATTCGCGACTACACGAAGCTCCGCGAGTAACGCTTGGTACGGTGTTTGAGAATTCAATGTTGGGTTCTCTAGTGCCCTTCGTGCAGTTTGGATTGTGATACCTGATCCGAAATGTACATTGGCTTGCTTTGAAGGAAGCCTTGGGTATTCCAATTATTGGGAACTTGCGCTAGGGAAGAGTATTCTGTTGGGCTCTTTGCCTGGAAGACAGTTGTCGTCAGTTTTCGGGGCCGCGGAATATCATTGCTGCACCGATTAAAGAGGAACTAACATATGAGGCTGATAAACCCGTTTGTACCTTTATTCACGCCTTTCTGTATGAAGTGAAGCTCAATAGAAGCATATTCGCATGTCACTGCCCCATAACATTTCAAATACTTTGAGTTGTCTGCCAGGTGACATATTTACGCAAGTATACAGCATTCATCTGCTTATAACGTTTCGATTCATGATAAAGTCTCAAAGTTTTGGTTTGTTGGCTATCAGAGAGACTGATGTGCAAAACTGCGGTTGTAACGCTTTCAAGGTATGCACAAAGTCTTCTTTTCCATCGTATCCGAACTGCGAAATATTGGTTGGACATCGCTTCCATTAAAGAAATCTCAACTAACGCAGGACGATTCATAGCAGATACTTTTTGCATTTAGCCTCCGTTAACTAGATTATGGGGCAGAGCTCCCCGAATAAACGCTTCATTGGAAGTACGAAAAGAATATACGAAACACTGAGTAGAAAACTCTTCAATGCTACTATATTTAACCTTACAATCTCGAAGAACTCCACTCCTCAGAAACACAGCAACCATAGTCATTGAGTGTACCATTAAAGGGCTTCATCAGCCAACTCCAAATTGCCCATCACAAGCAGAATATGTATAAGATATCCCCATAATGAAACATCGGTAGCAAGAAATTTGAACCATTGGTGTATACTTGGAGTAAGCATGAAACCTTGATCAAACTAAGATTTTTGTATATATTGGAAATTGATTCATAAGTCACATGGATAGTGCTACTGTTGTTCCAAACTAAGAGCTGTTGAGTTCCAGATAAAAATTCCTGCGTCCGTTGACGCATATTCAGTACGTGTTGCTAGGCTTACTGTCGGCAGCATTACCGCAAATGCAGGGTTTTTCAAGTGCAAATTTATGACACTTTGAAGTAATATTTTATGACAGTAAACTTTGACGTATTTAGTGAGTTTTAACTAAGCGCCGTGAAGTCTATACAGGGAACTAGTCTATCTTTCGGGTCTCCTCATTGAACTACACCAGTATTTGTGGAACAATGGTCTAACTGGCCGACTATTATTAGTAAAACACAAGTTTGTGTCTCTTTGTAATCGAGAGAATGGTATTATATTGAAAGAACCAATTGGGATGAACCCACCTAGAATGTTCAGGGCAACAGAAACGGCGTCTAGGAGGGGCATTCAACAAGTGGGCCTCCAGAAGGTTGCATTCGGACTATCCGACCATTCGATTTTTCCATAACTTCTCGGCTCATACATACGGCGATATGTGGATTATGCATTACAGGTCTGGCAGCCATGGCTGAGGAGAGGTCTCACCGCCTTGGAGATACTTTAAGGTCGGGCAACCAAGAATGTCAGAGATTTGTATAAGTTGCCGTATGAATGAAGGTTACAAGTGCGTGGGATCTTCTTCCTATAGTAGCGGCGATTTCAAGGGGACTTCATTCTGACTAAGCAAATTTTGAGAGATCCCAACCACGCGTGCAGCTACTTACTAGAACTCAGTCATAAAAGCAAATTGTGAGGTCACTATCTTAAACTGAGAGAGCAACACTGATGATTGGAATGTGTTAGGAATTTCTTTCCCGTGAGCCTTTTCAGGACGTGGAATGTCCTAGCGGAATCTGTCATAAGTGCTCCCACGCCGGAAGAGTTCAAAGCCCGAGTTGAGCATGCACTTATTGTCCTGCACCATCTTACATAATGCATTACCCATGTAGAAACACAAGTGTCTGTAAACGGTCACTTTACACATTTTGGTCAACATTTTTCACCTCCTTTATGTGTACATCAGAAGGAGACACGATTTTTACCAATATCCCATTTGCCGTCATTTCTCAAGGATTTAGCTCGGATTTACAGTGTAGACTACGTATAATTCAGTGAGTTCACTAGTGTAAACCCAAGTTTGCTGACAATATTTTAGATTTTGTATTCTCACCATAAGCATCCTACGGAAACTGTTAAGCATTAGCATTTTTACATGTATAAAACCATTGTTCCAATGATGGAAAGTAACCGACAGTTTGCTGAACATATTTCATCTTAACGCCGAGAAAAGGCAAGCCTAATGTAGGAAGCGCACGATGTAAAAATCAAGATAATCTATGGATTGAAGATAATAAGAGTATGAAGGCTAATAAAGCAAACGGCAGTATAGGGATGCTCAGAAAATAACCATGTAAAATCCGGAAAGGTACCAGAACGCTCAGCCAGCGTTTCCTGAAACCGGTCGACCACAGTTATTAGGCCCGGAAATTAGGCTATCAGTTCGGGAGCAGTTTCAGTGTCTGATCGTGGAAAGCAAATCCCCAAAGTCATATTGTATTTTTTAGTGTGTTTCCGTCTACATGGTTGCTCTGTTAGTGAGACCATTTCATGGTATACTTGTAGTGATTGTAAATATTGTGCTACTTGACATTTCCTATGTTGTGTTACCAATGGTATCGAATAATATTGACCGTATTACTCGAAAGTACATTTCGGTTGTTCTTCCTCTATGAAAAAGCTAGCTAAGGAAAGGGCATCGCCTTAGTCCAGGTTCTATAAGTACTACTAATCTGTTATTTACATTGTCAGAAAGACTGACATTTCATATGAGAGCGAGTTGATTGTGGTCTACCCCTATCGAATACCCCAGCTATTTGTATTCAGACTGGTTATGTCGTAGTCCACTAATTGTCGCATCTTTAGTGGACAATGTGCTTTATTGATGAGCCCCGATAAAAAGACAACCCGGCGCTTTCTATGCCTCAGGTTAAATGCAAAATGATTAACAAGTGAATAAACTTCAGAAGATATTCGTACTTTGGAGACCTGATCATTTGGTTCCATTGAACTATGTTCTTGCCGGTAGCTTGTTCTCTCCTCAAGACTCAGTGAATTCTTTTGCTGGGCAAGTTTCCTCTGTGGTTTCCCTCGATTCTGAACAGCAGTGTCCACTGTGTGGTCATCATTTGTTTCCACCAACTCTTCTAACTCCTTCAGATAACTGTTCGGACTGTTAAAACAAAGTATGACGGCAGAGCAATAAGTTTCTGGATACGCAGTGAACAGGTTAGATACAGGTGACCTGACAAGAAAAACGTGAACTATGATCTATTCAGCACATTTTACAGTGATTTCAGCACACACAACGGTATATCAGAAGCCATCACAGCTCAAAATTCATAAGATTCGCATTCCTCAGGCGGTGAGTATGAAACTCCGTCCGTACCACTGGAGGGCAATGATTTTTATGAGCTCAAAGGTAATTTAAAGCAAAAGCGTTGAGCAATCGCACGCAGCATTTGGGGGTACTGCGCCTTCAAGAACCACAGTGTTTGAGTGATATGCGGAATTCAAGTATGGCAGGTGGTCTGTGCATGATGAGGTACCTTGTGGTCGACCTGTGGAGGTCACCACCGCGGACAAGATTGCTGCAGTATAAATCTTGCAGGAGGAGAAGGCGTGAGTGACTTTAGTACATTTGACGAAATCCATGGGGCTCAGATCGCGATCAAACCGCACCATCGTATATGAGAACCTCGGCCTCAGAAAGGTTTGCGCACGCCGAGTACCTAATATGCTCAGTGAGGACCAGAAAGCAGCTCGAGTGAAAGAGTGCCGCACCATTCTTCTCAGGTTTGATTATGGACGTTCCAATGCTGTGTGGGAGATTTTCAGTGGTGATACGACTTGGGTGTACAGTTTCGACCCAGAGATCAAGCAACAATCTGGTCCGTGAACAGCCGTTGGTCGTGCTCAGCCTCAGAATTTCGGGTGCGACCGCGGTGTGGCCAAGCAAGTGGTGGCAGTGTTCATGGCCATGACCAGCCGTCTGAGCACTGTAACGCTCGTGTGGCAACGCACAGTCACCAGAGACCGGTATGCCGCCTACTATCTGCCAAAAATGCTGGGGGCTGTAGGCAGGAGCCGTCCAAGGGCTCGAGCACGAGGGATTCCGCATTAACATGAGAAGGCACCTGTAAACAATTCCTCTGTCGTCGTAGATTTTCTGGCTACTGAACCCATCCAGAATGTTGATCACCCCCCTACGATCCAGAGGTGGTTGAGTGTAACCTTTTGTGTGCCCAAATGTCAAGCGCACAATGTGTGGGATCTGCTATAAGTCTTCAGAAACTTCAGTAGAAATCTTTATGGAGTTGCTTGAAAAGGTACCCGCCTTCATTTCGTCTAGCTTCTTCTCCAAATGGTTTGAGCGCATGTGATTCTGCATTAACGCTGGTGAAGGGTACTTGGTTGAAATATATTGCTTAGTTTGTAATAAAGAAATAAAACTTTTGTGCATCAGCAAACATATTGGGCTGCCTTTTTACATTGTTTTAACACTTAAAGTATAAAGAAAAGTTACTGCACTTGCAAAGTGAAACCCGCTGCATGCTTGTACCCTCCATGGAGCACTGTGGGCTACTGGTAGACAGTTTACAATGTGGAGAAACCGGAAGCCAAACTGGATTTTAGAAAAGCAATACCGCTCTCTACTCTGAAGTTAGACATGCATGTTAATGAAACCAAACCACATTTTCTTAACCTATTTCATGTTTTCTACAGGGTAACGGGTGCGACGGACCACCTTCGAAATCCGATAGGTCCATGTTGTCTGCTTTTAATAGCATCCCTTTGGATGTATATCAAGACGGATGAAGCGCATGCTCCTGGGTCACTTTGACTAATCTTCTCTATCCTCTCTCTATCTTCTCGCAGCCTAGTCACAGTACACTCATTAGAACCGGATTTACTAGCCATACATAGGGCTCCAACATACGTGTAATTATTATTTTACCATTATCGTCTTCAACATCACAAGCTGTTTTAACTGTTATTTGTGGTCAAACACAAGCGGGTAACTCAATAAGTTTGAGCCGAGTGTCCCTCTGGTAACTGCATTCGATACCGAATTTTGGAGATAGCCTGGAAAGGCTAAGCTTATTCCAATCCGATGTTTCTCAACGTAGTTGCGGAGGAATTTGTCATATCTCAATTTGTGATCAACTTTGGGTTCAGATTCAGTTCTGCTTCCAGTCACCCAACATTATTTGTGAACTTGTCAGCCAGTGCGCATGCATAACCCGTCATACGGACCGCGCGATCAAGCCGAACTCTCATCTTACCTTATAACAACAACGCTGGCGCGGCGATCGAAGCTGGAAAAGTACAGAACGTCAACTAACCCACTGGCTGGCATGTCGAACAACCTCCTCGTGGTGCCAGCTGGGTGGTTCGGGATTTTCCGTTCCAGCAAATGGTTCGGCGGCAGTGTTCCAGGACGTGGTGGGTTTTCGCCTGGCTAGCGTTCTCCTTATAAATAGCCACATATGTCCATTTAACAACTCTGTGACGTAGCGGACGTGACTCTCCACTAAATAAATTCACTGTCCCTTGTTTCATCCTGGCGAAGCATTGTATTCCAGCAACCTTATGCTGTACTTCTGGGGAGCATTTGGCCCATGTTTGACAAAGGAACAAACGAAAGGCGTATGAACTGATCAATCAGTCACCGGCTCCCAATGGGCGCGATTCCCTGAATTCGCTCCGCTGCCTTGCGGGCAGGCTATTCAGCCAATGGCTCGGGGTGGTGTCCCCTAACTCAACACCCTACTTCGGCTTGGACAACCGGGTAGTATCTCGCCCTCTGAGGAAACTTTGGACATTGTTGTGTTGTGTTTCAGTTTACTGTTTCTGTGCCTTCGTTTGAATCCCATGGTTTCTGATGGCATTATATCTGTTAGCAGACTTTCGCAAATATAGATATATATAACCCACCGGGTCAGGTAACCACACCATGTTGAATGGCAGCAATGAGAATCCGAAAGGGCTCTAAGCAAAAGTCATTTGCGGGTTGGGAGAACGTCATCGATTAGTTAAAATAGGGTAGGCATGCGCGCGATTTTTGGAATGTTATCATCTGAAGTGTGCAACGTCGTTCCAACAGCAGGTAGGATAACGAAATAGCTCTCAAGATCTCCTTTGGTTCTTTACTGCGTTCCCGACCACCCCACTCGTTAAGTGTAATCTTACCCTAGTCCAGAACTACGACCGGTTAACCGCAGATGCCGAGTAGCAACTGAACGATAGTGTTACTTGAATGGAAGTGAGTATGCACAAGGGAAGCGTAGTTGCTGTACAATGCGCTTCCCCTCAGCTCTAATTAGCCACGTCCCCATCTACCTTGTCTTCTCTAATTGTAGTAGAACGCCAGGCTAAAACTGACCTTAGTTACAAGAGTCAAGCAGTACACATGGCAACGAAATGCATACATCCCTCGAAAAGTCTGGTTAAGCAAACTCCACTAGACCTGCCATCTACCATTAAAATTGATGAAGCAGCCTAACACCAACTCTAGGTTACTGTAGCTCAGATGTCTCTTGTTAAGACGAAGCTCTTCAAACCATCAGTTAGATATGCAAAGATGGTTTCAAAGGTCAGCTAGGATGCCGCTGTTGCGACTTCTTCTGTTGTAAACACAGTTAATGCGAATAAAGAGACAAACAATAAACAAGCAACACTTGTCCTTAGGTCAGGACAAATGATTACTCTACTTTGTAGATCAACGAATAAGGGATCCAACCATACTACCCGGACTGTTATATGTTCAAATGCCCCTGAATCTACCGCCAGCACATTGCGTGGTAAGTTTTTGGACGAGCAAGACCAATGGAACTCAATGTGCATGCTGATTTGTGTAAAAGGAGAAATCATAAATGTATTACGAATTACTCGTCATCCGAACTCGCCACACTATGTAGGACCCAGACTTATTCTAGTAACACTCGAATCCTCCACTGATTTAAAAAAGGTTTTGGACTCCGCTAGGGTGCTATGACACGGATGCTGTGGGATACGCATCTATCCTGATGTCCATTGAAGCGCGTGACAAACAAAAAGAAACTCAGAATAAGGACACAGTAAACACGATCGCCGAAACAAAGTCTTCTGACACCACTTGCCAGAGCTACTTCAAATGACTTCGATAATGCCGGAAGGCACGATTTAGAACAGTGGCGGTTCATTCCACTATTTCTCTGGTTAATATTATGGCACTATCGCTTAGCAGGCTAAACATCACACCAAATTATAGAGGATGCGGCCCAAGAATCCTAAAACTTGTGGTTCAGTCGGAGCCAACAGCAACAGATGTTTCGGATCGACGGCAGAAAAAACAAAAATGCCTTCTCCTGAACATTAGTTGATGGCCGTCAATGCTTTTCAAAGTTAATCTAGCAAAGCAGCTGAAGCAGCGAACTTACCAGCAAGGATACAGGAACTTGACTGAACTGCTTTTTCAGGCTACTCTAACCTAACTAAACGAAGATTGGGCGCACCTTGACCGAATCAAATTACATGCAAGGTATCATTATACCGTCAAAAAATGAGTAGCTACCGACCTCCCATCATTCGGCATCCTCTCACACTTGACCCCCTATAGTCCTGTGTGGGATCCTAGAGACAGACAAACTGGTCTGCTTGGATACGAATTCTCAGGATCTTTTTAATAAACCGGCCGCACTGAAGAATCGCCAAGCTCCCGGGTCATATCATATCATCAATATTAGTGAGACATGGTTACGCACCGGAATAAGGGACGTTGTAGTTTCGCTACCGGACATGTTGCTCATCCAAAGCGATAGACCCATAAAAGGAGGAGGGGTAATCCTTTGTTACCTAAGCGACTTACAGTGCGAATGCTTGGAGATTCAGACTCTCAGTTCCCCTACTCTCTTTGGTGTTGCTTACAGTTAAAAGGCTGGGCCGCTTGCCTTAGTGTCTTGGTGTACCGCCCCCTAACTCTACACCGGAAACCGACTGCCACCTTGCGGCTGCTTTAAGAAGTAGTTTACAGCGAAAATATAGTCACATGCTTATCATGGGTGGTTTCAACGTATGTTGTTTAGAAACCCTTGGCACCATCGGAGAATACTTTAAAACTGATCTACAGGAGCTCGTAACCACTTTTCCGCTTTACAATCACATCACATTCCTACGCTGTTCAGAACAGGG